TTGATGGATGTCACTAAGGATTATATTCCTCCACCGAAGTAAGCTAACCACCTAGGGAAACAAAACTGCACCCAAGAAGAAAACTACTTCAGGTATGTCATGCTACCCATAGGAAAGAATGAGCTACCAAATCTGAGTGAAAAGAGCTAAGGTTCTCCATCCCACACTACTCCTGCCCCCAACTCAGGTTTCATCAAGTTACTTGGGTACCAGGAAGAATCTGGCTCAATCTTCTCCTTATTTTCTGGGATGGGAATCCACTGGAGCCATTTTGGACATCTTCATTAGTGCCTTAGAACATAAAGGTCATGATTTAAGGTATGGGTGGCACTACCCTTTCTATTGCATTTATTTCAGAGAAAACAGACATCAATTCAGAAAACAATAGGAGAAATGTGTTGTATTAATTTGACTGCAAGACTGAAGTTAAGAGAAAATATTGGAGAGCACTTCTTTTTCTTCTTTTCCAGCTTACAAGTCTCTTCCTTTAATTTATTTCTACTTTTTAAAATTTACTTCCAAGAGTGACTCATGACATCTTCTGAAACTTCATTTTATGCTGAGGAGTCAAAAACAAATAAAACTGGAAAGCTTGGAGGACCTTAAAACTTTCTGTTGCTACTTATTCATATCATATTCACAGTGTGACACAGGACTACCTTTTGCCCTCTTTATATGGTCAGCACTATAAGAAACACATGATACATTTAATAGATCTATAACTGTTCAAAAAGAAGTTGGTTGGCATATTGATCAGAAATGGATTTATGAATCAGTAGCTGTCACTGATTACCACCAATGTGACTTTGGACAAGTCACTTAATCTGTCTAGGTCTCAGTTTCCTCATCTATACAATGAAGGTTGGACTCTAAATCTATGGTCCTATGAAAAACAAGGGCTACTGAAAGTTATTGCTTTGTATTTCTGTATATATATATATATATATATATATATATATATAATGTATGTGTACATAGAAATGTACACTCCCAGGTACAAAGACTTGTCTTTTTTTACCTTTTAAAAAATTAATAGTAGCCAACAGTTATATAACACCTACTATGTGCCAGGCACTGTGTGCTAAGTGTTTCACAATTACTATCTCATTTGACCCTCACAACAACCCTGGTAGGTAGATGCTATTATTATCCCATTTTACAGTTGAGGAAACTGAGGCAGACACATTCAATGACTGTCCCCAGGCTCACATAATTACTAAGTGTCAGAGGCTGGATTTGAACTTGGGTCTTCCTGATTCCAGGTCCAGTGCTCTATCCACTGGGTTACCTCCAGTGTATAGTATATGTTCATTGAAGGCCTGCTCCCAAAGAAGAGTAATGAGAAGACATCTTTCCTTCCACATACATTCCTTTGCAAAAGTGAGAGGTCTACTGGTGTGGAACGTTAAATGTATTTTCAGATTTTTTTGATGTATTGATCATTTTTGCTGATTGTTTTTTCTCTTCCTCTTTTTTTTTTCTTTTAAAAAATATTTTTTATTATGTGGGATGGCTATTGGGAAAGGGAAGGAGAGGGATACTGGGGAAAATTTACACAATATAAAAATAAGATCGATAAAAATTTTATTTAAAAAATTAGTGCTTGCTGAATTGAACTTGACCTTCAAGGTCATGGTTAAACAGTTTAATTAGATCAACAAAAGCACAGCATATTGTATACAGTAACAACAATATTCGTTTAAGAACAACTTTGAGGGACTAAGTCATTTTGAGTATTACAAATACCCAAATTAACTACCCCAGACATATGAAGGAAGACACTATCTGCATCCAAAGAAACAACTGATGAATAGAAGTATGTATAGAATGATTTATATATACTTTATATATATATGTATATATATATACACACAAACATATGTATATATATATACACACACACACACACATTTCTATCTAATGGTCACCATCTCAAGGACAGGTCGGGAAGTGGGGAGGGAGGGAAAAAAAGAAATTTACATGGTAACTTTCTTATATATTTGAAAGGAATAATGAATTTTGCATGATAGATTTGCAGTTTCATGTGCAATCATCTTTTTAAAAAATTATACTGTTATGGAAATGTTTGTTTTATTCCATAAATTAAAAATGAAATAAATAATTTTTTAAAAAACATAGTAAAATCAAGGCACATTATTCACTTGTACTGTAAAATGTGACATTCCATAAACTTTAAAATTCCAAACCCTGACTTCAGGTCCAGTATTCTATCTACTGCACCACCTAACTGCCCCTAGATTCAGGAAGATCTGAGTTCAAATTTAGAATTAGACACTTTACTATCTGGGTGACCTTGGGCAAGTCACTTAACAATGGGGATAATAATAGCACCTACCTCCTAGGGTTGTTGCAAGGATCAAATGAGATAATATTTGTAAAGCACTTAGCACAGTGTCTGGCACATAGTAGGCATTTAACAAATGCTTGTTCCTTCCCTATCTCTTCCCTGAAGTACTTAACCTGCCTGGGTGAGCCTGAGACTGGATCTCAGAGCCCTAGCTACCTCTTTTATTTTGTGTTTCTTCCCAGAGAATAGGTAACCAAATATCAATCCCCAGATAGACACGTTCAAACTTCGAGGTTTTTGAGTTCAAGATGCCAGGAAATCCTGGGTCGTTAGTACAAAGTGGTACACTTTCTATTTCTACTATCGCACTTGTTGGAGGAGGAGATGGCCGCAGACAGAGGATGAGCCCAAGGTCAGGCCTGGTTTGCCAGAAGACCTAGACCTGGAAGGAACTGTTTGAACAGTGTAGAGGGGAGTTGAAATATAAAATGCCTATTCAGCAGTCCTGCAAACTGCTTTATATCTGGATGTTATAAGTATTGATGCGGTTGGGATCTGGTCCCCAGAAAGGAAAAACCCTGGACTTTCCCACATGGCTAAATGTCTGGTGTTTATAATCCCATCAACTGGCCTTTCATTGTGGCTACACCCAATCTCCCCTCCATTGTCTTACCCGGCCATTTCCCACCCTTAATCCTAGCTAGGCTCCCTTCTCCCTTGGCCACGAGGTCCAGGTCCCAGGAGTTCTGTTCACCCCAGCTTACTGGCCACTCCTAGGTCCCTCCCACAATCTTTCTGTATATAAGGTCCACCTTGTCTCCAATGAGATGCTTAGATTCTTAAAATCTAGCCAATAGTTTACTAATGTTCAGACTCCTTTGGAGTCTACCCAATATGATAGATGTTCTAATAAACCTTGTCTTTGGCTAAAAGAAGGCTTGGGTCAAATTCTTTTGGGCAGGACCTGAGTGTTGTGATTTTGGGGTCCTAGGACCCCTGAACCCCTAAACCACATCAGTATCAGTCTATTGGAAGATAGTTATAAGTTGTCACTGTTGTTTCTTTAAGTTCTCTCAATGCATGTTTGTGAGTCTTGTGTGGTTAGCACTTCCTTAATATGGGGAAAATAAATATGCCTGATATACACTATACTTTGAATACCTCTTGAGGTATACCCTAGACCCTAGAATTGAACCAAACCTAAGCTTTAAGTAATTTTCCCCAAGGTTCCTGAGTGGGAATGTAAAGAGTCAAAGAAATAATGAGACAAGAACCTGCCCCCTCTTTTTGGAGGTCAGACTTTCCCAAATTGGGACCAAATCCAAAAATGCTCAAGTCCAGAGCAGAAGGGCCCTTCGAGGGAGGGGAAGAGGATGCAGCTCCCCAGCCTCTTGGTCCCAACCAAGGTCATTGTTAAATATAAATACTTTTGTTTGTTTGTTTGTTTTCTCCTTCTGGTTTTGGTTCAATATTTTAGGTGACAATAAAGTGAAGAGAGGGATAAGGAACAGGGGAAGGGAAGGACGAAGGAATATTAAAATCTGATCACAAATGGGATTTATTGGGGGAGTGGGGAGAAACATCTTCCCCTCTCATTAGAGGACAGAAGCCAAAAGTCCTTCTAGCAGCTGGTACAGCTCAAAGTTGGCACCAGTGGGAGCAGGAGAGGCTACAATCACATGAATGTTGGTAGCAGTGATGTGATGCTGACAGATTAGAAATGCCTGCAAGAAGTCAACATTCCCAGGATACCCTGGAGCAGAGAGAGATTGGGACAAACCACCAAAAGACACAGAATTTTCCCAAAGATTTATTGAATGAGAAGTTTCATCAACTCTAAAACATGGACATATATACATATAGGCACGTCCACCCACATAGGCACTCAGATCCACACACCCATTAAATTACCCATATTTTCATGGATTCTTCATACATAATCCATATATAATTACCATGAAGTAGCATGAAAGGGGTCGTGCTAAGCCCCCCAAGGGAATTGAAGGGGTTGCCCCAGACTGTAAGGGTGAAATATGGCCTGTGCTCTCTCAGGGCTTTCTTTTCAACTTGGTCCAGTTGTGCCTGGTACATCTGGCCCTGGCTGGGTTCCATGCATCCTTCTTCCTTAAACAGTTCAGTTCATGGTAATACTTGGACCTCACTGGCACATCTTTGGGTGTGTTCACTACAGTTTCTTAGTTGTTTTGTTTTTCTGTGAATATTTTTATCTGTTTTCGCTAACTTGGACGTGTACACAAGTTTTTCAAATTGACAATCATAAACATATAATGCCTTCACACAAACTGCACTGAAATCCATATTTCCTTGATTCAATAACATAAAATCAGATTTTAATTTTCTCTTACAGTTGCTCAAATAATTCATTAACATAAAATCAATTTTAGTTCACTCTTATAATGCTGTCTGCCAGCAGTCATAATTATTGCGCAAATCCATTTCCAACGCAGAACATCCTCCATATTGATCATCTTCATTCTTTCAAATGGAATTGCGTGGTGTGTGAGAGAATGCCCTGTTTTTGTGGGACTTAGAAACACCACACAGTAAGTATTCTAACTGAACAGATCCTCCGTTTCTGAGAGTTAGCCATTCATACCAAATCAGCCCCAGAATTTGGAAAATTTTCATCATCTCTCAGAAATTTCTTTTGAATTCTCCTTTTTAGGGAGCAATGCCAAGTAAAGTAGACACTAAGGAAGGAATGGAGATTGGGAGTTGCTCCATCTTTTAGTTATTCATCTTAATTTTCCTTTCCTGATGTTTAATTGAGAGTGGAAGACCAACATAAGAGCACACTCTAAGTTCCTTCGATACTGCTAATGCCTAGCCAGTGTCTCTGGAAAATTGAGTGAATTTAAAGAAAATAAACCACAGCTAGCATCCAGAAAGCGTTACCAGCAACCTATTAACATACTTCATTCTTCCTAAATACTTAGGAGTAAGTTAAAGTGGAATGAGTCAGTGTGATGACTGGAAGAGGAAACCTGAATTCAAGCCCTGGCCTTTAGCCACAAACTAGCTGCCATGTGACTTATCAAATTACTTAGCTTTTCTATACCTTTATTTCCTCATTTGTAAAATGAAGGGATTCTGCCATGTGATCTAAGTTCTCACCAAACTTTAAAGTTCTATAGAAAGTGCACAGAAGTAGGTTCTAAAGTAATAGTTCCTCAGCTCTTACCCTTACCCCTTTATACTCTTAAGAGACCCCAACAAGTGTTTTTTCATGTGGGTTATATTCATTAATATTTGCCATATTAGAAATTAAAGTGTCAGTAATATTATGAAAAGATTTTTCACTTTGAGGAACCCCTCAAAGGGTCTTAAGGACCTCCCAGACCACACTTTGAGAAGCACTGTTTTTTAAGAAGCAACCTTTTTTGTGTCACAGACCCCTTTGGTAGCCAGGTGAATACTATGGATCCCTTCTCAGAAAAAATGTCTTTTAAATGCATAAAAATAAAATACATAGGATAACAAAAAAAACCCCAACACTTTTATTAAAATACAATTATCAAATTTTTCCTTAAAGTTTACAGATTTCACTTTAAGAACCCCTGCTCTATACTATAGCTCTTTAAGGGCACTAGGGAACCATGTAACATTCTCTAATTTCAGTGAGTCAATAAACATTTATTAAGCACCTGCTATGTACCAGGCACTATTCTGCGTGGTACACATTGCTGAGGATGTAAAGAATGGCAAAAGACAATCCCTGCTCTCAGGGAGCTCAATGGGGGAGATAACATACAAACAACTATGTACAAAGTGATACGGTTTAGGGGTTCAGGGGTGCTGGGACCCTAATATCACAATATGTTTGTCCTGCCCGAAAGAATTTGACCCAAGCCTTCTCTCAGCCAAAGACAAGGCTTTATTTATAATTTTATATATTAATTATAAATTATATAAATTTATATTATATTTATAATTTATATAAAATATAATTATATAATAATTATATATTATAATTTATATAAAATATAATATATAATTATATAATAATTATATGTTATAATTTATTTATAATTAATAAATTAGAACATCAGCACCACATTGGGCAGATTCTTAAGGAGTCTGAACATTAGTAAGTCACTGGCTAGATTTTAAGAATCTGACCAGTGGCTAGATTTTAGGAATCTGAGCATCTTAATGGAGATGAGATGGACCTTATATACAGAAAGACTATGGGAGGGATCTAGGAGTGGTCAATTAGTCTATGAGGTAAAAGAACTCGGAAGGGAGAATGGAGCCTAGATAGGATTAAGGGTGGGAAGTGGCCAGGGGCCATACATAGGGAGGGAGCCACAAGGAAAGGCCAGTTGATGGGATTATAGCCTCAGGCAAATGCCAGATATTTGGCCAAGTGGGAAAGTCCAGGGTTTTTCCTTTCTGGGGTCTAGATCCCAATCCCATCAATAGGGAGCCACTGGAGTTTATTGAGTGTGTTTTTTTGTGTGTATGGGGAATAGGGGATGAGGGAGAGGTAATATGGTCAGACCTGTGCTTTAGGGAGATCACTTTGACAGCTGTGAAGGCTGGACTGATATGACAGGCAGACCAAACAACAGGCTATCGCAATAGTCCAAACATGAGGTGATAAGGGCCTGCACCAGGGTGGTATCAGTGTCAGATGAGAGAAAGGGCATACTTGAGAGATGTTTGGAAAGGTAAAACCTACAGGCCTTGGCAACTGATTGAATTGGTGGGAAGGGGGGGAGAGAGTGAGGAGTCAAGGATGGCACCTAGGTTTGGAGCTTGGGTGTCTAGGAGGATGATAGTGCTATAGTTAGAGCATTTGGGGGGAAGAGTTCACTTATGTCCCATTGTCACTGAGCACTTAAAGGCATTCTTACTAGATTGAATAAGTTAATTCACCCCTCTAAACACTTGGAATCAATAAGTGGTTGTTCAAAAGATTCTCACCCCTTGTTTCATATCCTGGTCAGTGACCAGAGAAGGTCCCTGAGGTAGTTGGTTATCAATAGCATCTGATGACCTTCAGACCACTACCTCATCTCGTTGTTAGTATGGGACACATTGTTTGTTTCTTTCTCAATGGTAGAACTGACTGGATTTCTCTGAAGCATCTTTGTTTTCATAATAAGAATAGCTCCATCATGTGACCCTCATCTTCCTCTTGAGAGGGGGCATGAACTGATGGCCTTGCACTACTATTAAATGGGACTGGCTCAGTGCTTCCTGCTTTCATTCTTCCTTCTTTTCCCTTTGGGGTCCAAGGTCACTGTTACAGGGTTCCGACCAGCTTCCAAATGGATCCCAAACTAAAAAGAATGGTGAGTATAGAGAAGGCAACTCCATCCTGACTGCTGATCAAGACTGAAGATCATTTGATTCAGGCTAGAGAAAAGAATGAATCTGCAGAGTTGACAAAATTGCAGAGGTTTAGCTTCTTGTATATAGTAGAGTAGATACCGTCAGTACAAATGGGTCTTGTCGATGTATTAAGTCAGGCTCTGAAATACCTTTCTGTAGAAATACTTTAATAAGATTTTGATTCCTATATGTGCTTGAAAGGAATAAAATAGCATTTGTTCTAAAACTTTAGAAAATTTAACCTTTTTAGGAGTTCAGAATTTCACCTAATTAATCCAATGAGGTGGGTTTTTTCCCCCTCTCATTTTTCTCTTACTGGTAAGGTTGATGCTGGGATTGGTTTGTATAAATGCTATATTATTAAATAGGGTATGGTTAGGATTCTTGCTCATCAAAGTTTTATTGGTTTTATTAGTTATTTATTCTGTAGTGACCACTACTCAAATCAATGCCAGACAGGCTCTTCACTATGGGATGTGTAAGATACCTACTCAGAGCAGAGGCAAAAAATAATTGATCTAGTGTTTTATCATTGTGAAGCAGATGCATCAAAAATGGAAAGAGGTTATATACTACAGAGGAAGATGAGTGATACTGAAGTACAAAGATGTTTGTCAAATTTAATAACTCCAAGCCCTCTTTCCCCAGCTCCCTCCCTGCTTTGTTCCTGGACAATCTCAGATGAATCAGGAAACCCCTTAGGAAATAGTCTAAATTTTGGAGAAAATATAGGTCCATATTTCTGATGGAAAACCAGTGAAGAAAACACAGGCATAAACCTGTAAATGGATACAGTCCATAAGCCAAGAAGGGGAGAAAGCCTGATATAATAGCATCTGGAATTCAATTAGTAGAATCAAGAAAGAACCACAGTGAATGTTGTCCTATGGGGGAGAAATAGTGGAGAGACAGTCTTATGATCTGGTTAAGATTAGCCCAGCACTTCCTTTTAATATGGTATACGCATCAAGGATCAAATTTCTGCCACTCATTGTAATGTATCATTTTAACTCTTGTTCAGTCGTTTTAGCCATATCCTACTCTTTGTGACTGCATTTGGGATTTTCTTGGCTAAGATACTGCAGTAGTTTCTTTCTCCATTTGTTTTTCCAGCTCATTTTACAGATGAGGAAACTGAGGCAAACAGGGTTAAGTGACTTGCCCAGGGTCACATAGCTATTAAGTGTCTGAGGCCATATTTGAACTCATGAAGATGAGTCTTTCTGACTCCAGGCCTGTTGTTGCTCTATTCACTTAGCCAACTAACTGCCCGTCTTTTAACTCTAGTCTAGTTCAAATAACATAAGGTCCCACATCTCCATCTTAAATTTATCCGAAGAGTTTTGCCGTTAGTAAATAATTTTCACTTTGCAAAGCTAGCCTATGTGAGACTGTATATTTCCCCCTAGAAAATACGCCTGTGATATAGGTAAGCTCCCAACAGGTGAATCTTAGTGCTGGTGCTATGCTCTTGTTTCAAATGACTAGTTTTATCACAAATTGGTCAATTGAGAAGATATATGCTTTTTCATTCAATTATGCTTTTTTAAAAAAATTAAAACCAAAAAATTTGTGGACATTCTCCCAGTCTACCCTGCTGCCTTTTCTAGTAACCTTTAGGGGTTAAAAAATCATTGTTTTACATAAATCTCATTCTGTCTTTGTGTTTGAAGAGAATGACTTCCTCTGAGATCTGTAGTCAGATTTATTAAAAAGCCTTTACAGTATTTCTTCTGCTCGAGGCTTTAACTATGAGCCGTTTTGCTTAACATGAGCTTTCTCATTTTGTGACCAGTGCTTCATTTTCATTATCTATCTAACTAGTCCTTTGCACAAAGGAGAAAATGGATTCTGCTCCAAGGGTTTAGAAAACTCCAAAAGAGATATTGTCACCCCCCAGGCATAGAGGCCAGCAACTTGAAACTTCCGTAATGCCATTTTTCCAATAAGAAAAAAGATCATTTATCCCCTCAAAGAGGGCTTTTCCCTTTCCATCATTCGACTGATTAATTATTTGCATCTGTGTATTGTTGGCACCTTTATAAATAGCTCTAGCTGACTCCTAGCTCTTCTAGCTTTCTTCTAACGAGTCATAGCCCTTCTCCAGGAAATATATTTTAAAATGCATTTACTTCTATATACACTTGTATACAAATGTTGTTATTGGTGAATACATTTAAATATATATCTGCAGTTGTCCCTCCCACATCATAGGAGTTAGGGGTGGGCACCCCCATGATCTGGAAAATCCGAATAAAAGTTTTTGGCCCTCCCTTCGTACTAGAAAAGAAGTCTGAATTTTTTCTTTTTCTTTTATGGGGTGTTTACGGTACCTCATTGTAAAATTTGAGTTAAGTATTTGGTCATAGACTCTGTGTCATCTGAAGGCTTCTACAAAAAAAAAATTTAATTTCTTTAATTTCTTATGCTGACCCTCTATATCAAAACTGCAATGGGGAAAGTCACTTTGTAGAAGGGATAACTGTATTTCTAAAATAATATAGGCCTGGGAACAGACTTCATGCCTGTCATCTGAGGACTAGCTTAACTTTTTTTTAGCCATAGCCACCTAAAAATTTCTGGAGGAATAGTGGAGTTGAAATCTAGATTCTTAAATCAATCAATGAGCATTTATTAAGTGCCTACTATGTGCCAGGAACTGGACTAGAAACTGGATACAATACAGATGCAATAAATGAAACAATTTGTATCTTTAAGTTAATTCTAAGTTCTTATGTGAAATAGTGAATTAAATGCTTAAAAATACATTTAAACAGAGCCCAACAATAATTTATTTAATAATAATATATTACATGATTTTCTCACATCTACTCATAGAGACAGGCTTCTCCTTTCATATCTTCTAGTTTCACATCATCCTTTTAATTCTAGGGGGTGGGATTTGAAGTCCAGTGCTTGAATGGGTCTTAGTTTCATTCAAAACTATTTATTTCACACCAACATAACACAAGACACTCTGGGTTGTGGAAGATACAAAGAATAAAAAAAAAATCCCTTGATTTATGGAGATTACAATCCAATAAACTGTCCATCACATCCTTGCTTACCCTTGAGAGAGAAAAAAAAATGACTGGCAAATTAGACAACCTGGAATATGCAAAACTCTCTCAAAGAAATTCTTGTTCCTAGGATTCCTAAAGAGTAAGCTTACCTCACATAATGAGGAAACCTCTTCTTGGTCAAATTGTTATGTAATGTGTGGGAATATGTTTCCCTCTCTACAGACAGGGAAAGGTTAAAAGTTAGTGGTGTTAAAGGAAGATTTATACTTTCTCCATTTTGGAGAAACCCACTGAATTAAACTGGAGCTTATTCCCATTGTAGGCTATTTCATACGAACAAATAAATTATTCATGAAGTCAGTAATTTTCTTTCTGTTCCCTGCCCAGTGTCATGGATGTTAAGACTACAAAAACATAGAAAACATCAAAAACTTCGCTGTGATTTGAAAGAAAGTAATGCTGATTTGCCTGTAGCACAGAAAACAAGCCAAGGGAAAATTTAAATATCCACTTAAGACAGTTAACTAAGAATCCTAAGAAAGACAAGTTGAGTGTGTTTCTTGGATCATCTGCATTCACACAGCTGACAAATGCAGAAAGCAAGCTAGGAAAGTGTGTCACTAACCACCAACCCAGTAACGGCTGACTGTTCAGCTGAGGCTCAGAGAAACTGACTTGCTTGATTCACAGTAGTGAGCGGCAGAATTGGGATTGGAATCCAGAACTCTCGACTTCCATTCAAGCACCATTCCTTTATGCCAGGCTGCCTCTCTTAAAAATCTTATCTTGACAATAAAACCATTATTTTGAATGTCAGTCATTGGGCTCAGATGCCTTAGGGGCTCCTAAATGTCCATGTCCTGCTTCTATAATTCTTGTGCTTTCTATCACATTTGTTTTCTGTCTCTTCGATCCCAGCAAGCTGTCTCTTCTCACCGCTGTTAGTGTCCCTGTGAATCCCCTCTCTCCCATCCCACTTGCTGCTTTTTTTTTTAACCTCTTGTGAACTTGTGGACCTGGTAATTGAGCTTGTTAGAACTATGTATAATCTAATAGTCAATAATTATAAGTAGGGGAATCTTCTGAGGAGTAAAGGGCAGGGCCATTATATCTTTATGAGGGCCATTTTTTGCTGCCAGGTTCTTGGTTTGAGTTACTGCTGTTCTAATGTGCTGTAGTTGTGGTTTCTGGGCAAGTAGGAAGTTCCTGACGACATAGATGACCAGACATTTAGGGCTGGCAGAGGTCTTGGAGATCACCTAGTTTGACCCTTCCTTCCTCCATCCCCTTTCTAATAATAGTGCTATTTCACAAGAAATCTCCAAAAGAATGGGAAAGAAAGTGGGCAGGAAAGTCATGGGGGAAAAAAAAAGACAAAGAGCAAAGATAAAGAAAAGAAAGAAAATATAATGGAATGATCAGACATGGTCTCTTTCCTTACTGGAAATTCAGTTAGATAAATAGTTAAGTTCCTATTGTGTGCAAGCACTTTAGCTAGGCAGCAAGAATCCAAAGTTAAAAATAACATAGCCCCTACCCACCCTTACGGAATTTACAATCTACTAAAAACAATGTGTGTGAGTGTATCCATTCATCTACCCAAGCATGAGACAAGGTGGAATGTGATAAGCATGAAGGAGAAAACCAAAGTACTCTAGGGAAATCTAGGGAAGAGGGAGAAAATGCTTTTAACTAGGAGCATCGATTCTTCATTCTTCCCTCTGGGCCTTTGCCTGTGCTATTTCCCTCATCTAGAACACATTATCTTTCTCCTCAACCAAATCTTCCTCATTCTTCAGCCCAAATTGAATCTTACCATCTTCAGGATTCCTTCTCTTACTACACCAGTTCATACTGCCCTTTCTCTTATCTGAATTCCTCTAATAGTTGTTTCCTATATTACTGATTTGAGCCCTTACCATGCTCTGCCTCACGTT